CTGAGCAGAATAGTGTTGTATTTATAGCCAAAGTTGGGTCTCTTCAGAATGGCTGTTTATGCAAAACGCCCACAACATAAATGCCATTACATAAATGGCCATTTACTCAATAATAAAGAGGGAAAATAAAGAGGGAAAATTGAAGAGGGTAGTTACTTTTCTGTTACCAAAACAGAAAAACGGATTGGATTTAATATTAATATTTAATATTAATATTTTGTTATTAAAACAAATATTTAATAACATTTCTGTTAATATTTTACTATTAACAAATAAATTTGGTTTCCGAAGCCGAAGCCGAAGCCGAAGCCGAAGCCGAAGCCGAAGCCGAGCGAGCGACGACGACGACGGCGCGAGGCTTGCCTTCTTCTCAACTCTTTAAGAGCTAGAAGAAGAGCAATTGCTTATATACCCATAAAAAACCTCTTCCTCTTCCAATATGGGACAATGCCCATTTGCCAAGGGAGGGGGAACTTAAAATTTCACTCAAAAATTTCATTTCCCTCCATTTCCCATTCACCCTCTTTTAAGTATTTAATATATTAATTAAATACCTTAAAAATCCAACAAAAACTAGCTATATGTAAGTGTATAGAGTAACGATGACTTATTAATCTGTACAATGGTTATAATTTAAAGTAACGATGTATTAATTTATTATAACAGATTTAAAGTTTAGTGATAGTAGAATTTTTTTGTACTATTATATATCAATGATTATAATTTAAATCACACAGTATATACAGGTGTGCTGGTTTTCTAATAATCTAGTTGTAATAGTGGTGGTCTTCAGTGGCTGCTATGGGGAAAATAGTTGTGGTCTTTTAAAATGATTAAAAGTGACTAAAATCCTCTGAAATGTCAAATGAACTTAATTATAAAGTGCACGATCCTAATCATTAATATTGAGTACTCATCAGTCATTATATTATTGTGTTAAAGAGCGGAGTCAAAGTGCGGGATGCGAGTTCGGCTAATTCTATAGCTTCTGGTTAAATTCTATGTTTGTCTTAAGAAATTTATCGAATATGTACAAATTATTAATTTAAAACCCAATAATTTAAAAAGATTATAACCCTAAATTCATAAGGTTCAAATCCTTACTCCGCCTCTGATTTTAATGCAGAACTAAGACTGCTAAACTTCGGAAGTATATATGTCTGACAGATCCAGAATTTTAAAGTCATGGGTGTTTGTCGGTTAAAATTTTAAAAAAGAGGAAAAAGGAGTTTAGTCGTGGGTGCTCACTCAATAATTATCTAAATATTTTTATAATTACCTATGCAAATTTACTAAATCTGGTCAAAGATAATGGGTGCTTGAACACCCACAAAAGACCATAGAGATACGCCACTATATATGTCACAAAAGAATTTCTTGAAGGAACAACTCAAATCCCCTTAAAACAAATAATATTGATTTAAAAATTCAAAAGTAAACATCTTTCTTTTACTAAATTAATGTGAGATAATAATGCAACTATGCATTAATGCAAGTACGCAACCGTAAAATCCTCTTAATTTATGATTAAGATGGTTCCTTAGCTGCGTAAATACGAGGAAGTGTTGTTGTTGTCGGGCGGAAAGAGAGATAACTACTATCTTTATTTATCGTTCTTATATACTAATTGGTAGACGTTCACATCAATTATCTTTTTCGAGAACCAATAAGGTTTGTGATGGATTGATAAGTTATCTTTCATCTTTAATAAGAGGTTTCATGTTCTTGTCCTGCATATGGAGTCGTACCCGCGCGATTTTACTAGTATTAGTACCCGCGCGATACACATTGCTTTCAGTTAATTTACTAGTATTAATTTTACCAAATATAAAATTTTCTGGCACGAATTCAACTCCAGTCGAGCCCCAATAAAAATATCAAACAACCGAATAGAAAACCAAAAAATAGTAGTAACTTTTTTTATTAGTAAATAGGAACGTATAGTTTTCGAACTCTTGACAGTGATTTTGGCCCTTAACCACTGAACTGTCCCATGAATGATAATTTCAACTTCCGAACAAATTTTCCCAACACAGCTTAATTTTGTTTTTTCAAGTTTGAATGAAATTATGTCCAGACGCTAGCTTAGGCACTTTAATTTTACTAGTATTAGTACCCGCGCGATACGCGGACATAAAACATATCAAATTATGATTTGAGTTATTTAAATTATGTGCAAATAACCTTAAATTAAACCTTCTATTTATAAATTATAAATTAAATTTTGACATTAATTAAGAAGCAGGACATGAAACCATTTTTCAAATCTCATAGTAGATAATTTGTTTTTTTTTCTATATCTGTAATAACCCAACTCCTAGATTTTGACACTTGTATTATATTTTACGGTCAATATTAAAGAATCTATACATGTAACAATGCGATCTGTCTGTTGATGCACATTAAATTATATTATTTTAACAAAATTCTTACTACCACTTTATTTTTCATCTCAAATTCAAATATCCTTATCCTTCTACATTTTTAGATATAATTTTTTTTCTCTTTGTTCCTTGCTTATAGTTTTTGCATTATTTTATTACTTATATTGTGATACTATAATGTGATCTTTTATTAATCTTGTTTATTGCCCTTTTAGTAATCATCAATAAATGAAAAAAAAATATTATTGAAATTTAATGTAATTTTACACTATTATCCACTTACTCGGATCTCTTTCATCATTTAAATGTATTAAAAATATTTTTGACTACTATTTAATAATTTAATTTATTTATTTTTAATAAATTTAAAAAATATAAGTATCCTCGCACTATCTCTATTTTCCTCTTTATACATAATTTCTTTATCTATACTCAAAATAAACAGAATTTTAATTTTTTATTCAATTAAAAATTCAAACTGAAGTATGATACTTTTCTTATATTTGATAGTTCTCTATCGGGAACATACATATCACATTTTATTTTAAAATATAACGTTGAATTAGTCTAAAAATTTATGTATAAGGTTTCAAATTTATATATAAAGTTCTTTTATAATGTTTCAAATCTATTGAATTTTCTTATAATTATTTTTTGTATTACGTGCATTTATTGTGTAATCTATTGATATAAATTTGGCTTTTAAGAACTTTCTAATCTCAAATTCAAATAATCTTTCCCTTTCATTTCTAATAGTAAATTTTTAATAATTTAACGTAATTTTGCTATTTTTTTAAATCTAATATATAGTCTTATTACGTTATGTGACTTTCCATTAACTTGTAACTTTATTTAATATCATTATCAACTACTATTCTTTAATATAATATAGATAAATATATAATTTTTTAATCATAAAATAAACATTTATTTTTTTTTAAATATATTGCTTGAAAATTTTAAATTATTGCTAATTATTTAATTTTTTTTCTTAACTTATAAATAATTTATATACTTTATGTAAGATCTTATTTTGTGATTGAATTTCTTTAATTTTAAACTCAATAAATCTTTAACATCTTAAATAAATTTTAGTTTTATTTTATATTTTAACTTACTCCAAAATATAAATAGTCATAGGTTATCTCAATTTACGTATTTTTATATTTTTTATTTTTTATTATATTTTTTAATTAATTTTTATCCCCATATTTCTAGCTAACATAGAAGAAAATCTATGATTGGATCAATATATAGATATAAATATAGATATAGATACAAATATAAATATAAATATAAATATAAATATAGATATATAAATGAATTTTTCTAAGATCTATTTAGATTATGTATAAGATTCATTTAAACTACTTCCATTAAATATGTTTTCATTTATAATTCAAATTTTTAATGTTATCTTAAACTTGCCAATTAGCTTCATTTTAGATTGTCACTTGGCTTAACCACATGCTTCACTACTCTCCTTTTAATATAATATAGATTTCAAAGTATTAATTGTACACTGTAGAACTTATTCTATTAGGTCAAAATCAATACTATGAAATACCTAATAATGTAACGTTCGTTATTTCTACAAATAGTTTAGTAATAAATTTAAGTAATATATCCCTGGTCTTTCTTTAAAAAGTGTAGCAACAAATTAAAGAGTCCGAACCATCCAATTCAGGTAATAACCACCAAATTTTGAGATTCCAATGTCTATCTGTTTTCTTTTTGGTGTGTGTTTGTGGAGATAGTGAGGTGGAATATTTTACCTATAGTAGGTCAAATGGTTAGTTCAAAACACTAGGTAGGAATAACATTCTTTTTTATTTTATTTTTATTTTTTGGATTTTTCACCCGGTATCTGGTACCCACATTGAGGCCCGACTAATCCGGATTCGCGCTAGGTAGTCCCACATTGGGGGTAAAGCGCTCCCTAACAAAGGCGACTCCATACCCAGGATTAGGTAGGAATAACATTCAAAATAAAGGATTTTAATAATAATTAATTAAAATATCTAAGCAAATTAAATAACCAATTTACATAATAAAATATTAAATCAGTATTCTAAATTATTAAAAATTGTACTCCGTAACTTAGAATAAACATCTAAAACAAAAACTAAGAAGATAATATTATGGGACACAATTGATGGATAACCCAAGACGTAAAATATGAAAGAGACATACACTTGAACTTAGACCTAAACAAATTTCGAATTGACCTATTAAAATACACTTAAACTGCATATAAAATTACTAGGTAAGACCACTTCTGGTAGATAACATTTATTTTGTGAACTTCACAAAATTATTTCACCTCGAAAATTTGATTTTTACGCTTTCATTTAATTTATATGATATAGTTTAATTGAGCACGTAGTTTCAGAAAGAAAGAAATTTTTTTCTGAAATGATCTTAAAAGTATAACATTTATATGACTATAAAAATTATAAAACTTGTAATTTTAAACATGTCAATTACATTTATATAAGTATAAAATTTATCTAAGTAACTGGCGGCATAACCAACCTGAGTTCTATCGCGAATTCGAAAACTTCAATCATTTTATGACTCTATGTAGCCAAATTGAAAACTTCAAGTGGTGGCCGCTTGTACTATTCTCATTTTCTCATCCACATAAGCACTGACGTTTGTTTTTTTTTTTTTTTTTTTTTTTTCTTTAGTTTTTTTTTATCTCTATATAAATACACAGTAAACAAAACACTGCATTCTCAATTCTCTTGAACTCTTTTCAATTTTCTCTTTCCACTTGCCACTCACTAGAATCTATGGATTCTTCTAAAAGCAACATTTACCAGCCATTTTTAGAAAACAATGGAATATCTAATTTATCACCCCAATTATCTGAATCCCACAATTTTGAATCAAGTAATGAACTTGAAACTGTACTTTTAAACACTGAAATACCACTATGGAATAAACTCCGTTTAGCTACATGGATTGAAATGAAGTTACTTTTTTACCTTGCTGCACCTGCTGTTATGGTTTATATGATTAATTATATTATGTCTATGTCAACTCAAATATTTTCTGGTCATTTGGGTAATCTTGAGCTCGCTGCTGCTTCACTTGGAAATACTGGGGTTCAAGTTTTTGCTTATGGTCTTATGGTATGTTTCACAACATTTCTTGAGTACCCTTTAAAGTTTACGGTAAAATTGTTTCTGTATGATTTATAGGTTACGGGTTCGAGCAGTGAAATCAGCTACCGCCCCTGGCATGCAAGGGCGGAGCTAGAGTGCCGGTAGCGGGTTCGGCCGAACGCAGTAGTTTTGGTTCGAATCCTATAATTTATCTTAAAAAATTCATTGAATATATATAAATTATTAATCTAGAATCCAGTAGCTTAATTCGATCAGAATCCCGAACCCAATGAACTTGAAATCTTGACTCCGTCTCTGCATCAGGTAGACTGCCTATATCACACTTCTTGGGGTGCAGTCCTTACCCGAGTTCTGTTTGAATACGGGATACTTTGTGCACCTGTCATGCCTTTTAAAATTTAGGAATAAGTGGAAACATTTTAAAGTTCTTTACTGTATGATATTTGTTTGATATATTACCTGAATGAAAACTGGAGGTAATTTCTGAAAAGGGAAGAAATTGACACTGTTTGTTGAAATAGGTGCTTTAACTTCATTTCTTTTTTTCTGAACAATTTAAGAATAATTGGTCAATTTAAACAGGAAGAAATTAGCAATACTAGGTGACATAGGTTCTTTGACGTATGTTTGTTGTTTTGAACCAATTTTGGATCAATTGGAGTTATGCTAAAAAAGGTGAAATTCCGTTCCATTACAAAAAGCAGCTCGATGCACGAAGCATGCGGCATTTACACAGGGTCCGTGGAAAGCCCGCATCCAAAGAGGGTGTGATAGGTAGCTTATCTTGATGCAAGGCTAATTCCACGGCTCGAACCCGTAACCTATAGGTGAAATTGCTATTATTTGGTGAAATAAGTTCTTTAATGTGTTTTTTTTTTTGTTTGTAAATGGCAGTTGGGAATGGGAAGTGCTGTTGAAACACTATGTGGGCAAGCATTTGGAGCAAAGAAATTTGATATGTTAGGAGTTTATCTTCAAAGATCAACAATTCTCCTAACTCTAACAGGAATTTTACTCGCTTTCGTATACATTTTCTGCAAGCCAATTCTAATATTTCTAGGCCAATCGGAAAGAATTGCTTCAGCAGCAGCCTTGTTTGTCTACGGTCTAATTCCCCAAATTTTTGCTTACGCGCTAAATTTCCCAATCCAGAAGTTTCTTCAAGCTCAGAGTATTGTAGCGCCAAGTGCATACATTTCAGCTGGGACTTTAGTGTTGCATTTAGTGATGAGTTGGGTTGTGATTTACAAGATTGGGCTTGGGTTACTTGGGGCGTCTATGATACTGAGTTTGTCATGGTGGATAATCGTAATAGGCCAATTTGTGTATATTGTGAAAAGTGAGAGGTGTAAGCAAACATGGAAAGGGTTCAGTTTGCAGGCGTTTTCTGGCTTGCCGGTGTTTTTCAAGTTATCAGCGGCGTCCGCGGTGATGTTGTGCTTGGAGACATGGTACTTTCAAATTGTGGTTTTGCTTGCTGGATTGCTTGAAAATCCTGAATTGTCTTTGGATGCTCTATCTATTTGGTAAGACCACAAACCCCTGCCAATTGTTTTTGGTTCACAAGATAGGGTATATTTACATTCAATTGATTCAAGTTCAACTAACTCTAGTATACAGTAGTAAATAAGATATCAACATAAAAGTCGGATATCAATTCATACTTTTGATATTTTAGTAATTGAATCCAACCCTGAAGGGGAGTCTTGGAGCAACGGTGAAGTTGTCTCCATGTGACGTATATGTCACGGGTTCGAGTCGTGGAAGTAGCCACTAATATTTGCAATAGCGTAGGCTATTTACATCACACTCCTCGGGGTGCGGCCCTTCCCCGGACCCTGGTCAAGGTTCATTTTCTTCATTCAAGACTTTTCTTTTCGACCCAATTTTCCCAAGATAGTACTATCACTCTTCACAAAAATTAGATTTTTTCGGGGTCTCAAAGGGGTGTGGAAAAAACGTACTAGCACGTCCTCTGTCAACCCCCGCCGAAAATTTGGATGAAATGAAGCTCCACCATGATTCTCTCCCTCAAAACAATGCTCTAAACACGAAAGTGTTTGAACTTTTTAAATTTTTGTTGAAGATGAGTTTCAAGTTTGAAAAGTGGTTAAAAATTCATTTTTCCTGCAAAACTACATTTTTTTTAAAAAATCACAATTTTTATGTCCAAAAGCCTACTAAAATTCTGGTAGTTAACTTGCATAGTAGCACGGGATTTGTATGCAAAGACCTAATGTTTGTCCAAATTATTCAATGTTGCTAAAAAGTTCCTAATTTTTCAATGTGCTTCTATTTTACCTATTACTGTTTTTATGCCACTGTCCTTTTCTCAAGTTGGCAGAAACTTCAACCTTTTTCCCTCTTTGAGCCAACAAAAAAGCCAGAGATAATGCTTTCCAAGGGAAAGTTTCCATATTCAGTCTATCCAATTTTATATGATGCTGATATGTAACTGAACACTTTCTATGTATTAATTCACTTAGTTAAACATTAGTGGCAATGAAAGAAAGTTATGATATTTAAATAATTTAGTAAGAGCATACTTTAGTGATTAAAAGTTACTATATATTACTTGTTTTGAAAACATTGCTAACTTCTAGATTTGTGTACTGATTTGTACTGCTAGAGTATTACTCCCTCCGTTCCAAGTTGTGTGAGGTTTGTTTGACTCGACACGGAATTTATGGGAAAAAAGTAGATTTGTAAAACTTGTGGTTCTAAAAACTTAATGGATAAAAGCTTTGTAGGGTCACAATATTTGTATGATGGCCGTAAAAATGTCTCATTAAGGTTAAAATTTGTAAATTGGAAAGTTAAAAGTTAAATTATTTCTAGATATAGAAATCTGTCATTCTTTTTGGAAGAGATTAATAAAGAAAGTGCATAAAAAAAATTGAGACGGAGGGAGTATTATTCTCTTTAATCCCAATACTTTTCACATTTTCCTGTTTATATTTTGAAAATTTTAAATCTATAATCTATATTTCCAGAAACAGTGTCTGGATAGTCAAAATTTACTATTAAAAGTCAATAAAACTTACTTGAAAGGCTTATAGGGTGTTTACGACAACAACAACAAAAAACCCAGTGAAATTCAGAAGTGGAGTCTGAGATGGTAGTGTGTACGGCGGACCTTAAAAGTCAATAAAACTTACTTGCTAGTTGTTTACCCTCGAATCCGGATAACAATTGAATTTATATGGGGTTTTAAGGATCCGTGAACTAAAAGATACAAAAGGTTTTTAGGTTAAGGAAAATAAAGATAAAGACTCAACAATTGCCGTTAAAGTAAATAATCGCAGAATATAATATTGCTTAGAACAATTGTGCTTGATGATCCACAAGAATTTAGAGAGATCCCCTTTTATACATTCTGATTAAGGGTAAAAATAAGGTAGGTAAATTGATTACATCGTGGATCCCTGTAATTACGCCTTAATGGCCTGAAGTGGTTGAGAAAATCACGTTTGGGCGAGATATCCGGCGACGCTTGGTTATCCGTTACGAGTCCGGCTTCCGACCTTGTGTGTTTCTCCATCCGGTGGTGACTCCTATCGAGCTCTGTAACGGTCTCGAAATGACTCGACCTCGGTTGTAGACGTGGCCGTCGTTCTACCTTGCATCCAGGTCGGGTTCGATGGCCCCGATTTGCTCCGGACCGGACCCAACCCGGTCGGGCTACAAGCTTAAAAAAAAAAAAAAAAAAAAAGGGTATCACCCAATACAGATAGTCCCCTCGTTTATTAGAGAGTAATGATAATAAACGATATGACCGGTGACGTGATGCCCGTGACGTATGGCCATACGCCAGGTGAAAAAGCCATCGAGTGCTCTGACCACGCCTGCTGCAGGCATTTAATGCTTCTCTTAATTACCTGTCGCTTCGTGTCTGTGGCTTCGCGATTCGTGCCACCGCCTCATGGAAAAAGTATAAACGATCCTTCCAGGTTCAACATTTCCTATCTTTCTCAAATTCTGCGTTGGTTGTATTTTCTTTTCATCTCTTCGTAAAGCTTTAAGAAATGGCGAAAACTTCACAAAGTGTTCCTTCTAGACCAAGCTCGGCCGCGAGCCCCGCTAGATCTGATGAACATGCACCAGAACCCCCATTGAAAGCATTCACACCGACTGGTTGCTCGGTATCTGCCGACTTCCAGGTTGAAAACCCATCATCGGTCCCGGGCCGCGGCGAACCGGCATCGGAGTAT